TGCCGATATGGCGCCTAGAGAGCAACGATATACACATGTGCACGTCGAAAGGCAGTTTGATGTCAATTTGCGGCGCATAAAGTTACCGGCGTGTATGATGGAACAGGAGATCGTCGATTCCATAAAGCATAATGACGTAGTTGTTATAACTGGTGGCACTGGATGTGGCAAGTCAACACAGGTACCGCAGTTCCTATATGAAAATGGATTTTGTGTCGATAAATATATAATTGGGGTCACACAGGTGAGAAGGGTCGCCTGTTTGGCTCTATACCAACAGGTATCACTGGAGTTGAATTCTACACAGTTGGTCGGATACCAGTATAGATTCAACCGAGGCTATAACCAACGGCATTGTAGAATCAAATTCATGACGGATGGCATCCTGCTGCAAGAAATAAAGGAGGATATATTGTGTTCCAAGTACAGTGTATTGATAATAGACGAGGCACATGAACGCAACTTGAATTGCGACGTTCTTATCGGTATCCTGTCAAGGGTAGTACAAGAGAGGCGTGTAAGGTATGAATCAGGTGAATCTGAAATACCGCCTTTGAAGTTGGTCATCATGTCGGCAACAATCCGTGCAGAGGATTTTCTGGATACAAAAATATTCAAAGGACATGTTGCACACTGCCACATACCTACAGAATTTGCAACCAACACTATACACTTCTCCAGGCGGTCAGTGACCGACTATGTTGAAGACGCATATGACAAGATTCTAAAGATACACCGCCGGCTGCCGCCAGGTAGTGTATTGGTTTTCTTGACGGGTAAAGATGAACTGTTCAGATTAAAGAAGCTGTTGGAGCCACACGAAAAAATAAACAAACTGACAAACAAACTCGATGTTTGTTCTACACAGGGCGATGATGCGGGAAAGGACCGTGATCAACCAAATGAAGTGCATGAAGATGATATAAATGATCATATAGGAGACCGTGTGCTAGAAATTACTGAAGATATCCCCTGTGGGCCTACAATGGAACCCTCTGATGATGACCCTATATTTGACCTGGAAAGTAGTAGTGATGAAGGTAATAGTATTAGTGACAGTGATGATTGTGATATCATGACTGCGGATAAAGAGCTAAATACTATCGCAGTGGAGGGTGTTAGTAATATCGCAGTGGAAGGTATTCATAACAGTGCCTTTGACCACGCAGTTAATAATACAGATGTCGACGGTATTGATATCAGTACCACTACTGAATGCCAATTCAAGACATCTGTTGAATCGGTTTATAGTTCATGTGACACTGGCGGTATATCCACTGAGCCTCCAGACATATCATTGACAAGATTCAATAACTATTCAATATTATCTACAACTGAGAATTCAGATGCTCAACACGATACTGATGATTGCACTACAGATAATAATGTGGATATTAACACTACTGTTGACACTGTACAAGATATGATATTGGTAGAATCCGACAACGAACATGATGGATCATCTGATCATGAATTCCAGGTTGAGTTGGACGTAATCAGTAGAAGCTATAAAAAACTGTCCGATATCAGGTGGCATGGTGCAGGAGCTGGTGCTGGAAGAATCAAAGCCATAGTGATGCATGCTTCACAAACAATGGATGTCCAAATGGAGGCTTTTAGAATGCCTAATGACGATGAACGCATAGTTATATTATCGACGAACGTAGCGGAAACTGCAGTGACGCTTCCCAATATAAGATATGTTATTGACTGTGGTAAAGAAAAGCGGCGATTAGACGATATACAACGTGGATTGTCAAGGTTTGTAATCAGTGATATCAGCAAGGCATCGGCTAAGCAACGGTCAGGTAGAGCTGGCAGAGTGGGTAAAGGCCACTGCTATCGACAGTACACCAGCAGTGTATATGAAACGCTGTTTGAGGAAAATTCACCCGTTGAGATATCAACGTGTAATTTGGAATCGACTATACTACTGCTATCTTCTATGGGTATAGAGAATCCCTATTACTTCAATTTTCTGACTCCGCCGCCAGTGGATAACATACGCTCTGCCATGCAGGTACTGGCCGTATTGGGTGCCATTGAAACACCGAGCTTATTGCTCAAGCAGCGGCACAGCATACACAACGAGATTACGATGAACCCTTTCAAACTGTCGCCAATGTACCCATATACATCAACATATGAGGTATTACAGCAGCTTAAAACAGCCCGTATAACCCAGTTAGGTCAATATCTTGCGGTACTGCCGATGCATCCCCGATTTGCCAAGATGATCTTTTGTGTTCTTTCGAAGAACCCAAATGCAGCAACTATACATTGTGCTTGCTGTGTGATATCTGCTTTGGCATTTGGAGCAGCTAATTTGGTGACACCGCGGGTACCTGGCGATGACCCCGAGAGGAAACCAATTCCATCACTGCGTAGCGATGTGGAATTGTTCATTTGGATATGTTGTAGGTATTCACAATGCAACCCAAAAGACCGCAGTGCATATTGTAAACAATACGGAATCAATCAAAGGCTATTGCGCGAAGTGTTCCAACAGGCCGAACAGGTGTACCGAGCATTGAAATCGGCATTGGGGGACCATATGAAAATCGATATTGACTGGACCCAACCTTTGCAAACCCCCGATAAAACTACAAAGTCTATTATAGAAGATGCTATTGTGGAATGTACCGTGGATAAGGTTGCTGTGCTGGTACAGCGTCTATCTGGTGAGGCCCACGAAGGTCTAGACAACGCCTACCGAACAGGGGCACTGGCATCAATTCGGAAGAATGTGTTTCTACCGCGTCCATACTGCAAACACAAACCGGATTGCGTAGTCTACGGAGGTTTAGTAGGTGACGGAAAGGTAAAGATACAAGATGTACTGCCCACTGATGCAACTACACTCTGTACAATAAAGTCACCTTTGATCATCGCAGATAAAATACAAAAGCAACCGTTACCAAGGTACAACCCGGAGACTGACTGTGTGGAGGCATTTGTTCACAAGGTGTATGCTCCACTGGATTTCCCGCTGGGTGTTGCCAAAGCCGTCTTGAACCCACAACACCCAATGGCAACCCGGGTATTCGCACAGCAATTGTGTTTGGGCAATGTATTTGCCGAGTTAGCTCCTTACAAGGAGTCGCTGGAAGTAAATCCAAGTGATTTTCTCGCACCCTCAAAGGCTAATGGCCCTTTGGCAGCTATGTTGATGGCACTTCGGAGGAACCATGTTAGCAGCAAAGCTACGTTTACACAGCGACACCGCGAAAATAATAGATTCCTTCTACAAGAATTTAGGCAACTGCTTCGCAAAGGGTCATTCAATGATGCAGAGCTAGAGCGGGTTTTCCTTGGCATAACCCGCGACTAGTTGTGTTGCAGCGAGGAAATTTTGGCAACACATTTCTATTATTCCACTTGAAACAATCAGTAAAACGTTATATTGCGAATTTACCGTGTATTTTTTATCCAGCACTCTAATGTGCTGCCCTTTATATGCGGGTTGTTAAGTGTCCACTCCCTGGGTTTGGCGACACATTGCTACTGGGACTCCACGCCAGTGGCGTCCAAACGCCATAAACTATTGTATAGTTCTAGTGCTTCCATAAACAAGATGGATGCCGCCGAGGCCTTGGCGGATGAACGGCGTGAAGCCAGTCTAGGTGACAGATTGCGTTCACGTTACTGGTGGATGCGGTCGTTAACGGAGTACTGTATCGGGTTAGACACGTATGCAACTAGGCGGACGACACTGCGCCAGCCGGATAGCGACCTGCTGATGGATTTCGTGGTCCTGCAGCCAGTTAAGGCGTTAAACTTCGTGCGGGGTGCGATTTTATGCGGAGTTGTAACAAATGCGTTACTCTGTGCCCCTGATGGCGCCATCGGTATGTTCTATAAGCATGTATCTACCAAGTATGACACCATAGTGTGGTGGTAAGTTTATGCGCTTAATTTGTGAACTCCATATAGGTGGCTGGTGGTAAACAAGCTTCTGCAGCTGTTCCAGATGCCAATAAGGATTTTCATGCTCTATTTGATGCGTAAATTGAGAGGCAGCTCACACCAAGAAATCATGTATTGCATGGCTGTCATTACCACCTCCAAGTTATGGCGATGGAGCAAACGCTTTACACTGGCAAACTACTTCTGGTACGCCCTTGGATTCGCGGCGTCACGCAACCCCATCATTATCAGCAAACCGTGGTTCAACATTATGGTGGTGTACGTGTTCTCGGTAATTGCCATGCGCGTGGCATTCACGTTTGTGCTGTTCTACTATGCATTCCCGCCATCGCAGATGAGGGTCGTACAAAAGCCGCAGCCCAAAGTGGACACTAGCAAAATTCCAATTCACAAATTCGGCGAGTTGAAAAATCCGACCTCAACCATGTGTGGAATTTGTCTGGAGGAGTTTGATGATGACGCCCTCATTCGTTTGCTTCAATGTAGTCACGGCTACCATGTGGCCTGTATTGACAAGTGGTTCGCTAGGAGCAACACATGCCCGCTATGCCTGTCAGAAGTCGACTGAAAGCAAAAGTCAGTAACAGTCTCTTTGGTGGTAGACGATAGAAATGTGTCTCTGCTTCCAAGGGACATATAGCGGTAATGGCACCTGAAGTTTGGTGTCCCCCGTGACGCCCTTAGGTGCAACCGTTACAACACACAACGATATCTAAAACACGCGCAAAGCTCAAATTAATGTGGCCACTTCTATAGTTACAGGAATATATACACCATGATGATAGTGGTGAACCCACAGGTTGTACAATAAGACAAGATGCGTTATTCATTATTTTGCTGTTTTGTCGGTAGAATCATTATATAATACACCTAAATAACTAGCTACGGTGTGGTGGGATAACGTATTTTACCACAATGAAGTTTTCAGTCATACGGAGGACCAGGTATGCTACTTCCATTCAGGGCCACGTGAAATGACGTACCTGGCCATGAAAAACGTGTGTATTAAGTACAATCAGCGCAACTACGTGTCATTTAGATTGACTTTCTATAGATCTCATTAATCATAAAACAGGACGCACACGGATTTGAACCATGGACCTGCCGATCTGCAGTCGGCTGCTCTGACCACTGAGCTACGCGTCCGCAATTTTTTTTACTGTTTATCAAGTTTATAAGGGTATTTATAACATTACACAGTAAATACGAATATAGACTTATGTCCAACAACAAGTTTATTTGTCGTATGCATATTTGTGACTCCACACTGACATCGAACGAAGGCTTGCCAGCGCCTACTATTTCATAGATTGATTGCTGTAGAATCTTCTATTACACATAACTGTGATCACGATTAGAACTTGATTCACTGTTTTGATAACACGGACGACTGCTTAGAATTGAAAATTGTCAACATAACATGGTGTAGTAGTACAGCATCAACACATTTCAATCCTAGTGTTACAATCACGATGTCTCCTTTTTGTGCGGTAGTATAATAGCATTGATCATTGTAACCGTTACACACATATCAATATTAGTTACACATTAGAATCATATTGTCACTTATAGATTTACAGCGTTGGTGGCAACAATTTGCAAGGTGAAACTACCCACTGGTGAGGTGGAATCACCTGGCGTGAGTCATAACACTGGCCTTATATAACTGCGTTGATAGCCACCTGATGAATGTTGCGAGCCATAATAGTTATATAAAAGGAGAAAATTATAATATGTTTATTTGAATAGTTCTAATCTATAATCAATGGCACCTACAACCGTTAATCTTCTGTGTGTCTGAGCTTTAAATTTATAATTAGGTATTGCGTAAGGTGAAAAGTTGGCTTTCTTAAACTCTGTATTTTGGGTTCTTTTTGTTGTTTGAAACTATATTGCAATTGTATTCCTATGATTGCCTTTTTTGCTCTGAAATGAGACATTTATTGCATTGTTTCTACATTCAAGTGCTTCTACTATTTTCGGCAACGATGTCATCAGCCGTCTTTCCGCAGGGTCCTTCAGGCATTGATTGTTCCGATGTGCGGGCATTTATACAAAAACTCAATGAAGCCGCCATGGATAGAGTGATACCTTCAGACCTGGATATATCCACAGTGGCTCACAGAATAAACACGATGCTTGCAACCATAAGACAGATGACCAACCAACATAAACCAGAGGACTATACTGGCTGTCGTTATGGTAGCAAAGCGCATACCGCTTGGATAAAGGACGTCGAAGAGGTTAGTAACTAATTTGATATCTCCAGCTCATGATGCAGAAATGGGATGATATCGCAAAAACATTGCAAATTGGTGAATCTATCACTCTGCCGTATAAAATAAGGGATATACGTAGATATTTTTTACATTCATTCGGCAATCCAATGAGGATAGACTACGGTACTGGTAGGTCACTGTGGTATAATAACATTTCATTATTTCCGTTAATATAAATAACCAAACAGATAAACTAATTAACTCTACAGGTCATGAAATGCAATTTGTCTTATTTCTCAAGACGTTATATGACACTGGGATTGTCGAGGATCGGGACCTGCCGGAGGTAGCACTGACAGTGATGTCAAGGTGAGGTGCATTATTAAATAAATCTATAGCACGTAGCTATTTCCAACTGGTACAGCACCTGATTGACAGGTACAATCTGGAACCCGCGGGGAGCAAGGGTGCCTGGGGACTTGACCATTTCCAATTTATGCCATTCTTACTAGGATCGGCACAGTTGGTATCCAATGACAATATATTGCCGTCGCAAGTAGGTTTTAACTGTTGTATGATTATCGGTTCCAGGTAGTAGATCCAGCAACCGTATTGGAACAAACGGATAAGTATATTTTCCTTCAGACAGTTGATTATATCAAACGGGTGAGGAATTTTACACCAGATCTCATATGCGGTATAGAAAATTAAAAGGGTTACGCTCGAAATAGCGTCGCCAATGCTCTATAGTATCTGTACGTCCTGCAATTGGCGGAAGATAAACCAGGGGTTGATGGAGATGTATACCAATGATGTTGCACACCTAGTACGTATAGGACAAAATTGTTGATAACGCAAAACATAAACAATCCTAGTTATTAGTCTTGAAACATTACAGTTTTCTGAGCGGCTATGATAATGAAAGTATGAAATCTACAGTCTAACTTGGCCTTATAATAGAACATCGTGTGTGTGACTAGCTCAACCTTCCACATCAAAACTATGTTTAATACAATAAAAACCGTATTTAGTAATATGCTAATGAACGCGATTATGCAGTAGTCAAAAGAAGCGCTTTTTGGTCGACCTGCAAGATGGTGACGATGGACCGTGTATTCACCCTGGGCATATGTGCCATGGCCAACAAGGTCGAAAGCGCTCCCATGAGGTCGATATTACACTATCTTAAGGCGACTGGAGACTTTGAAATTATCATCTTCCCCGAAGAGGTGTGTCTAATGAATAAAAAAAATATAGATACAGACCATTTTAAACAAGCCGGTAACGGAATGGCCGATTGTCGAGTGTCTAATCGCATTCTACTCCACCAACTTCCCGCTAGAGAAAGTAGGTCTAAGTGCGATAAATTAATGTCAAATATAGGCCATTGACTATGTCAAGAGATACAAGCCAATTGTGCTCAATGATGTCGAGAGGCAGAGAATATTTAGGTCACGCCTGGATGTATACCGAGAATTACAGGCATGCCACGTACCACATCCAAACTATGTCGTGGTAGATCACGAGGCAGTGAAGCAGGGAAAGGCGTGCTTCGAGGAACACCTGGACTATATTGTCTACAACAATGTTAAAATAAACAAGCCGTTTATTGAAAAATCGTTGGATGCAGATGACCACAATAACTGGATATACTACCACAGTAATACTGGAGGCGGTTGCAAGAAATTGTTCCGAAAGGTGCATGACAGGAGTTCGAGATACTGCGCTGATGTACAGGCTGTTAGGCGTGATGGTACATATATATACGAAGAATTTATGTCGACATTCGGTAAAGATATTAAAGTCTACACAGTAGGGTGTATGTTCGCACATGCTGAGGCTAGGAAATCGCCGGCGTTAGACGGCAAGGTTGATCGTAACAATGATGGCAAGGAAGTTAGGTTCCCCGTTATCCTGACAGCCCAAGAAAAGGTAATAGCATACAGGATAGTGGAACACTTTGGCCAAGCTGTATGTGGATTTGATATACTGAGAACAGTTAATGGACCGTACGTATGTGATATCAATGGATGGTCATTTGTGAAGCATAGTCGGCACCACATGGACCTGAGCCAAATCATCAGGATCATGTTCCTACTTAAGTTACAACTGAAGTATAACATAACATTGGGAAACGTCATTCCTGCACGAATCGTTACTAAAGAAACTGCTGAAGCATTAAAAAAGACATTTGCAGATATTGAGTACAATCCAGACGGTATACATTCCAGGGAGGAGTTGTGTTCGGTAGTGGTAGTGATGCGTCATGCGGACCGTACACCGAAACAGAAATTGAAGATACTGACGTCGCATCCATTGATATTGCAGTACTTTGATGGTAATAAGAATAAGCAGATTAACCTGAAGTCAACGGAAGCAATGGCCAAATTTATAGAAATAAATAAGATAATTGTAGGAGAGCTCGATGAAGAATATGAACAGGCAATACTAGAAAGTGATAGAGAAGACGGGGTTATAGATACTCCAGAACTCAGGGAACTTAGTGAACGTTTGGACATGCACAAAGAGTTGCAACACGTACTAGATTGCTCCGATGAATTCGCCAGCATAAACCATAAGATACAATTAAAACCAAAGTTTAAAGAAAATGGTGAAATTAAACAGGTTCTACTGGTGGCTAAATGGGGAGGTGAATTGACCCGTGTTGGAGAGTGTCAGGCACAGGATCTTGGACGTCGATTTAGACAATCGCTATACCCAACAGATTGCACTGGATTGGTGCGATTACATAGCACATATCGGCATGACTTCAAAATATTCACCTCTATAGAGGGTAGATGCCAATTGACCAGCGCCGCCTTCACCAAGGGGATGCTAGATCTCGAGGGAGAGTTGACACCAATATTGGTCGCCATGACAATCAGAGATAAAAAGGCGCAGTATTTACTAGATGACAATGTAGAAGTAAAGGAACGAAACGAATGTAAAGAAAGATTACGTTGTGTTATGGAACACTGGGAGAACAAGCACAAGGTAGAGGAGATGTTGGCAGAGATGGGAGATGATCAAGCAAGGTTCTACCGTCAGGCAGTAGAGCAGATGAACTTCACAAATAAAGAAATGCATAGATTGACTGCTCTGTTGAACGACTTTATGGATTCACTTGAGCACGAAATGTCAAAATGGATGTACCTCTACTCAGTGGATGACTACGCCACCAAGGTGTTGGAAACGTTACAGGAGATGAAATCCAGGTGGAGAGCACTTTCGTTGAAGCTGTGCAAAGGACCAGAGAATACATTCCAATATACAACCATAGCAGATATAGTGGATAATTTGCGGTATGACCTGATTCACCACCATACATACCTGGGAGGAGGTATAGACAAGGCCTTTGAGATATACAATCTGGTGGAGCCCTTATCGGCCGTGTTGTCTCCATGCGAGTATGGAGTCACCCCTAAAGAGAGACTAACAATCGGGATGAAGGTGGCGGGTAAACTGCTTCAAAAAATTGTACACGACGTGACACTCCACAAGAATACATATGATGATGCGAACAAGTTGTCTGACCAGCAACGTAATCGTGATAAACTATATGCCAAATTGGTGGAACAAAGTTTTATAGGACATAAACGTTATGATTCAATTCGACATGATATGGACAAATATTACGCTGAAGACACTGGAGATGACCGTGTAGATGTCAAAAGTAGTTGGAAACGAGAATGTGACGCTACTAGCAGTATAGAATCTAACACAGAAGATCCACTTGAGAAGATATCACTTATTGCTTCGACTTCAGCCAGTGCAGCTTCAGTGGCAGCAAGTAGTCTGGCGGTACATTCAGATGGTGTCATGGGAGTAAGTACATTGTCTAAAAAGACATATATAGGCGGGCTAACGCCAAGTGAGATGAATAGGTTCAATGTTAAAACACATATGGAGGAGGTATGGGAGTTGCTA